CCACATCAACAACAAACTCCCTCCTCAAGGAAACCTCCTCACAATCATCCTCCGCAATCCCATTCATAAACTGCACCACCACGAAATCAACCCGACGCCTTCCCACCACCACCATTGGCGCATGCCACGTGCCAGTCCCATATGTCACCGCTTGGCCACCATGCGCAATGAACGCTTTCATATTCCGTATATCCGGCGGGTCGCGAATGAGAACCTGCTCCTTGCAACCCTGAGCATTGACAACCGTAGCCTGTGCCGTCTGGCCATGCAACGATGGCGCCACGATCACTAAGTAACTTGCGCTAGGATTCTCATCATCGCCATCGTTGTTGCCATCACGAGCTCCCGTAGACAACGATTTATTCCCATTATTTCGCCGTTTTCTATTCACAGCAGGTGGCACACCAAGCGGAATAAAGGTCTGCGTAGTATACGGGTGTCGCTCCAGAATCTTAACGTCAAAACATCCACTGGCAAACTTCCGCCCCTGGGCCCCCCGCCTTCTCAATGCCCGCGGGAAACATGAGAACATGCTCATGCGTGGATCCGCGTCCTTCCCGCTTCCTTGGGTTTCAGGGCATTTGCATTGGTTGTAGCTATTCTGGAATACGGAGATGGGGCTGTATTTCAACGCAGTGGATTGGTTGGCGAGGATGGGAGGAGGGAAATCGGATGAATTGGAACTAGCGTTGGCTAGAGAAGGGAGGGAGGAGGCAGAAGGCGCGCGGGTGAGGGTTGCTGGTAATGGGCTGGATATGGCGGTGCCGAAAGTTTGAAACGAGGATTGGGCGAGAGGGGAGGTGGAAATTGTTAATATTGAAGTGGGGAGAATCGGAGGAGGCATTGTGCGTATTATATTGGTAAAATGTATAACACGGATAATTGATGATTACCCTTGAATTGTATAAGAGGTTTTAGCATTGCCGTCTTTCGTCGATAAATAACGGAGTTTGAGCTGTGGCAAAGCAATGACATCTGTGTTCTTATCGATAAGGGAAGCTTGGCAATTAATGCCAAGGTCACATCGGGCCTGAGCAGCCTCCAAAAGATTCTAGCTTTTAGACCTTCTTCTCTCTTGGGACCTATTCAAAAAGCAAGCAATACTGGAGACGGTATGGTATATTCAAATAAAATGAGTAAATAATAATTAATTAGAACCGACAGCTTCAAATGTTGTAATCGGATGCATCGCCCGATGACCGCGCATCATCGCACCCAATCCCGAGTTTGGCATTTGCTGGAAACACTGATATAGAATTCAAGCAGTTCAACATGATATTACTCAATCTCGCTGCAAATGGTTTTTATCTTCCCCCTATTCGTCCTGGATCTTGGCTACCACCTTATTTGATCTTCCGCCCCCCTTTTGCTGATACTGGTGGGCCTCCAGTGCATCTTCAAAACCCCCTTGTCCCACCAAATCATACGGGGGAGGGAATAATTGGTTATCATGTTCGAACAGTGCCACAAATACTGGAATATACTCAGCGAGCACCTTGTTGGTATGTTCTGCGTGTGGTCTTCCAATAACTGCCAGTTCAACAAGTTTTGTTTTGACCCTTTCGAAGTCGGTTATCCCACTCCTATTATTAACCCGGATTAGTTCAGAGCTTCCTCAGAAAGGTGAAAACCTCACAGTTTTGACAGAGCTGTTTGTTTGATTGATATGAACTTACCAAGTATTTGTCGAGCAGAACAGTTTTGGACCTTCCTCAGGAAGCCTTTTATATAACTCTTTCGCGAACTCATCACCTGATGCAGCAGCATCAAAGACCCGATGAACCTTGCCTTTGGTGATAGTAAGGACCTCGTTGACCTGCTCTGCTATTGACATTTTATAGTCAAACACGGCTTCCGCGCCTTGGTTTTTAACGAGCTACAATGTGAAGTTACTACTTTAGGGTGATGCCGCATACATTGATAGACGGGCTAGGATCATACGAACAGGGACCGAGTACGCGGAACACGATGCCATCACTTTATACCCACAAATACCAAAGAGCTACGGGGACCGTTAGCATGTCAATCGGATGACTAGAGAAAGTAGCCTGGGAGAGATAATGCCTGCCTGGATCGCAAATTTCCCCACAGAGCTAGCCCCTCCTAGAACAATAGCCCATTCGCCCGTTTTCTGAGGTGCATGTTTCCCCTCAAGGACTTCCTGCAAATTTGGCAATTTCACGTCAAGGCAGTCGAATAAAGCTAAGCCTGCAGTCTGTTCTTGAAATGAGCTTTCGTTCATATAACATGATATCCTGCGTTCAGGACGGCTGATCGCGGAACAAACTGAAATTACATACCTCCAGACCAACACCTATCGTGGCAGCTTCGACAAGTGAAATGTTCTTCGGCTTAGGTATCGTGACTTTGGCGTCCATCAATAGCTAAATGGCAGGCGCAATATATCACCTATATTAGCTGGGAAAAATCCACGATGGCGTTCCAGAATCAAAACCTAGCCAGTTCATGGCATGGTGCTGAGCTCAGCAATCAGGTCACAACACTTACATATTCCTGCCCACTATTGTATCCAGGATATCCCAGACGTGTGCATCCACAAACATGATCGCCAACTTTAAACATTGAGGCGGCATTCTCGCCGACTTTTACCACGACACCTGCCACATCGACTCCAAGGGAAAGTGGCCATTCGTGAACGATCACTCCTGATGACTGCATCATTCCATCTCTAGACACAGATGGGAATTATTAGAGCTGTGTTGAAAATCGGATGCGTCACTCTACCTCTAGAATTCGGCTTTCATTCAAAAAAAGAAAAAAAAAAAAAAAAAAAAAAAAAAAAAAAAAAAAAAAGAGAGAGAGAGAGAGAGAGAAGGGGGGAGGGAGGGGAATCCAATAACATGAACCTTAAAATTAAAATCGAATATTAAAAATAATGATGGCGCGCTGATTCTCTCTCTCGCGCACTAAGCCGGGCACTTTCGCCACACATCATTGCAAGCGGCCAAAGAAAGAGAGGAATGTAATAGAAGGAGTACAATGGAATAGATATAATGGGGGTGGGGAGCTTCATGTGGGGAATTCAGGCCTTTAAGGAGACGAATACTTACACTGGATTCAGGCCCATATAGATCGATTTGACCAGTATTTGGTCAGATGATGGCTCAGGGACATCAAGATTGTCAACAATTTTGAAAGGCTCGCCAGCCTTCTCACAGATGATTCCCTTCATTTCTATGCTGAAACGAGTTTGCGTGATATTGGTGAAGGTATAGAAGGATGCGGGGAGTGGGGGTTTTTGGGAATAGAGAGCGACAGCAAGTTACGGATGTTTAGAACGAACGGTAAGAACGAACGGAGCGGGGCGAGCGTATAAAATAGAAAGTCCTGACAGAAGAAGGAAATTGTCAAGCTTTATCGATTTGTCAAGAGAACGTCAACTCTGGAGCCCTCGTATATTAAGTGTGTGCCAGCCTTCCCCACGCCAAAAGAGCACCCAATTGAAACCAAGGCTCAAAAGTTTGTGCTTCAGGCTGGGTTGAATCGCTGTCTGGGATAGCTTGAGGTATTGGGCAATCATTATTTTTTGACAAAGGGTTGCAACCTTTCGATATTAAGCGAAGCGCAAAAGAGGGGATATGTTAGATCTAGGCCTTTCTCCCCCGCGTAATAGTATTTAATTCGCCCGTCTTTCATTAAAACTTCTAAAAGAAGGTTCTCCATACCAGGATTTTGGAGTGATCATGGGCCGAGAGAATTCATTATAGGTTTTGATAAATGGCTGGGATGTCAAGGAATGCTTGAACTTAGTTCTAATCTGTGACACAGTATATGATACAATAATCAATAAACAGCAAAGAAGTAAAGAGAACCCCCGGAAAAACCAACGGCCAAAAATGCAGAAAATATAGAAAAAAGGTTTCCATGAATACACCCCTCTCGAACTTTAAGAATTTCACGATTCAGGGTAGTGTAATCCCTCCAACATCCAATGGATGATAGGCTGCTCATTACCGATCGCAGTGGGATATATATAAAGGAGTGGGTTTCAGGTGATCCTGGAAAAGCCAATTGCTCTATGTAGCCGTCAGGTGGCTGAGCTGTTGACGGGCTTTCTATTGTGAATATAGAAACGAGCGATTCAACATATAACCCCTTTCTATAGCACAGCCCGATTGATATTCACACATTCTATAATTCTCATTTATTGTGTATTAACAGAGTTCTTAGCGAATCCCAGTGATCCGAGTCCGCATAGCTGGTTCATAGTTAGCCAAGCTGCTTGTATGCTTTCGGAGATGGAATAAAATATATGTATCAAACTGATTGACGTACATGTAGGTCATGCTACTCCGTAAACTTGACTGGATAGCTGCTGGGTGCCAACGGAATATGTACATGACGAACGCCCAGCTGAGGCTGGCAAAGGCTGGCCATGCATTGGCGTATATTTTATCCCTGGCTTCTGGGGTTATAAGATGCGACAGCCTATGTGTTCCGGGTTCAACAGATATCTTCGCTATTGCAAGCATCACACGAGCGAAAATGTATATCACAATCTAAAGTGACATATCTTGGGTTAATTTCAGAGACTCGTTTGTTAAGGTGGCTAATCGATTGGACCAAAATGCTGACCTGTTTGCTGACGCTCCCCCGCGATTTGCCAAAAACGAGATAACCCCCCAGAAGCCCGGCGACAAATGTATCGTATGGGCCTTCCTTACCCCAACCATTTGGTCCTATATATTTAAGAGCGATCATGGTGGATTTGTAGATAGTTGCAAATAGTGAAAGGTTCCGTGCATGTTGTCTTGTGGCTTTGAATACGAGCCATGCTTTCTCTCGTATACTAGGCAGTGCAATGCGATATGAATAAACCGGATAATAGCAGTGAAGGGGTATATAATTGAAGGCTAAGGTGCATGTTTGGGGAATATGGAGGTTTTTAAATACCTTCCTGAACGGAAAAGAAATATCATCCTACAGTTATAAGTAAGAGTTAGCCTTTGAATCTGGTTATTTTCCATAATGTGAAGCAAATACACATCCCGAATTACAACGCTGGCCATTGACTTACACCAAAGCATGAGGAAATCGTATTTTGGCACCGTAGACGGCTCCATTCCGAGCGCCTTTAAGGACAGCTAAGAACGGCGCGAAGTCAGCGTCCAAGACGAGTTTATCAAGTTTTTCCTATTGTAACTTGTTAATGCAATGACATTTGGCGATATTTAGCAATAGAACCACATACAATGAGAGAATCCATGGTCTCCTCCCAATGCCCTCAACCTCATAGGCTGGGCGAGTGAGTGGCGGAATTCGGCCTTCAGCTTCTACCATTTGCCGCTCGTGAAGGTCAATATGCCTTCAATCCCGAACGTGCGAAGGCAGTATAATGACGGTAAGGGGGTTGGTATTTTCACAATAGCAGTCTGAAAGAAACTCACGAACAAAGCTCGGAGGGAAGAAGAATCAAAGAATCGCGGCAGAGATCTTGTCCCGCAGCCCTCGGCATGTGAAGGCCTTTGCCGACAGGCGCCTTGGGCGCAACAACGTCACTACACGTGACTTCCGCGCGTGGAGCTACAATTCCCACCACGGATCGATACAGGCCTGTTGACGAACATTAATAGATATGCCGAAGCGGCTCACCCAGGAACAAAGGCGCGCTGTGACCGCGGCATTGTTTCGCCAGGAACCTTACCCGGATATTGCTGCCGCCCACGGTATATCAGAACGACGGCTTCGAGGCATTGCGAGCTGCCTGCGAACATGGGGAACTACGCATCCTCCGAGAACCAAGCCAATGGGGAGACCAAAGGCAATCACCGATGAAAGCCAACAGGTAGGCTGCACTCTGTCCCTCAGCTGCTCGACAACGTATCAATCAGGTCTTATAATCACATGTGTAACATAGGGTCTTCGAGATTTCGTCAATGCTCGGCCTCTTGCTAGCCTTGAAGAAATGCAGGTTCATATACAAAACACGTTCAATATAAAATGCAGTTATCAATCGGTTTCGCGTCGTTTGAAGGATATGGGATATAAACGCACCGTCGTCCAGCGAGGCAATCGATCCCTAGAAAAGAACAACATTCCGGAACTATCTGATACGGACAAATTGCGACTTCAAGGTGATCCGTCTGCAGCAGAACTTTTGGGTAAGACAAAAGTCATATATGCATGGTTGTTGAGCCCGTCTAAATCTGGCTCGAAGCGCTCGAAGCTCGCTTCTCATACGAAGACTGGCTTTACCCAAGAAAATAACGCGAGCAATGGACAGCCTTCTGAAGACCTTTCGGATGATGGGCGGAATGAGGCAGAAAGTCTTGATGGCTTGTTTTATGGGGATAACTCCGCTTCTGATTCGATGCCAATGCCAGCCGTTCCTTAACAGCCACTCACCAGCTTCGTTACAACCGATATATTTTTGTTTCGACCTGTTTTCCAGTCTGAATCTTTAAGCCTGTATTTTTCAATATCACATCTGGGCGCATTGGCGCTTTGAGAAATGGCTTACGTATTTATATTCATTTCTTCGGATTTACCTCCTCAATAATAAATATATATCTATATATATAGATATTTTTTTCAAAAAGTTACATTCACATCCATCAATTCTTGTAAAAATCCCGTTGCAAAACCAGCCAGACCAAATATAAAACGCCAAACTAACACCTATTTAAAAATGAAGAAAATCCACGAACCCCATTCCTTGCGTTAACCCACCTTCACTTTTTTTCTATTATCGTCATCAGTCATCTCATCCACATCCATAAGGTCCACATCACCATCACCATCACCATCAACAGCAACAACACCAGCTCTCCGTTTCAGCCCTTTCATCTTCCTCGTTTGCAAACCAGTAATATCTTGGCGACCAAGATGAACCCGGCCAATCTTATCACCAATAGCATCCATACCGATATTCTTTTTCGTCTTCGCCTCCTCATTCGGCCTCTTTCCTTGTTTCATAGCCTCCTTCATGACGTCCTGATCCGCCTCTCGCATCCTTCCAATTCTAAAATCAAATTTCGGCCCAACTTCATCCAGCTCCACACGCGGAAGCTTTTGCCCACTTTTTTTTGTCCGAATCTTATACCACCTCAAATGAATAACAGGCTGGGATCCTTCCACAGGCTCCTCCGCCACAATCGAGAGCAGATATTGCAAGCCTTCCACATCAATCTTATCTGTCTCCTCCCCTTTAAACATATCCAAAAATATACTCTTCAGCATCGCATAAACAGGCGATGTAGCGTCCTCCCAAGCACTGCCAGCAAATAGCATCATCGGCTTCATGCCAACCCCAATATTCAACTTCATGCTCTTCATCTCCTCCTTTCCCATTTCATTCCCTTGATGCCCTTGACCGGCGAGCAACAGCATCTCACACATATCTAGCACCTTGGAATTATAAATACGTACTAGCGTTACGCAGTTAGGCCGTTTCTTACTGCTGCTTCCGAAGACAACGATGCCGCATTCGTTTTTCCCAGCAAGGAACTCAATTCCTTCGGCATTCTCGAAGGGATGGATGTTTTCGTTTTTCTTAGCAAAGAGGACTGAGTGCGGTTTCGTGAGGGCATGGAATGTTTTGAGGACGGTGTTCAAGGGTATGGGGCATTTGGGCCCGTGTAGTAGTTGGGTGCGCTTGACTGGCTCGATGAGTTGAGGTTCCCGCGCCTTGAGAATACGCGCAGTGCGCGGGTTTTTGGGTTTTCTGTAAGCAATTAAGTTAGCTTTGTTGAATGTATATTTATATATTTTCTTTTCAATTTTCTTTGGCCTGTTCGATCGGTAGGAATGAGGGAGAAATCTAGTGTCTGGGGTGGATAGGAACCAAACAATTGGACGAACACATACACTTCTCTAAGCATTGGGAAAGGTGGAGCATATGGATGTACCCAGATATACGGCCCCTGAGATTGTGCAAGTCGGCCTTTTTCTGAGAGAACGTCGCAGGTCTGGTATATTTCATTTTCGGCAAAATACTAATTCTCAACCTTTGTTTGGTTAGCTCGTCGATTCTCGGAGAATGCTGCTAATGTGCAAACAATGCAAACTCTCCGAAATTCGGCTAGTTACCAGTGGATCGCGTTTGCTTACTGCGTCGGAATCTTGCAGCATATTATCACAACAACTTGAATGTATCTAACAACTTCATGGCCATATCGCTTCACGGAAATAGGGGAGAGAATTATTAGATTCAGCCAACATTGCCTTATCTCTCTCTGGGGACTTGTACCCTGGGGTGGCGGTACCAAGGGTTTCAGTTTTCGCTTTTGAAACTAGAGTCTGGATTGCTCTGACATCCTTCTCTTCATAACTACTCCGTAAAATAGTTATAGGCTCCCTTCAGATAAGTTCCCAAAAAAAAAAAAAAAAAAAAAGTTGCTTAAGTTGGCCTCCAGGCTTGGCAGTGGGATGAGATCGGCAAACTCGATCTCAGCCGCCAGGCTTCCTGCTGACGAACCTCGCTTTATCTAAAGCCATCCCTGAACTATTCCATGAACCAAGGCGCTCATTTCCCACCAATTAAATCCATTTTCTATTGTCTCGGTTTATGTTCCAGCTTGCTCACAAAAGGATTTAATTGCATGAATTGTGGATGATTTGAGATTGCTGCAAGCATTCGCGCATGCAGGAGCATCACCTTTTCCTTCGGTGAGAGATCACATATTTCTCATCTGCGGAAGCTTAACGTGACGAATCCTTTAAAAGAGTTACAAATGTGAACCTGTTAACTTGATATTGTTTGTAGCTGGAGCTGTATCAAGCAGCATAAATCTTCACGCTTTCTGATTTCTAGTTGAGACAACCACTGTTTGAGATTTCGCCAGCCTCAATGCGAATTTACTCCATATCTCAACACGGGCACAGGTATCTGGGTGGTCAAATATTATATTCTCGTTCGAAAGCATGACAATCTAGGCTAATATGATACCGCTGGTGTATGGCCATGGCCATTTTCAAATCCTTAAGCCATGTTGAAAAGGGAACACCGCCTTCAAGAAGTGGGCGGGCAGTTGGCTTAATCCCCTCGTTCCCCTTTGAATGGAGGACATCTCTCCATGATTTGTTAACCTGGCGTGGATCGTCCAAATCAGCTTATTTTTCCACGACTGTCCTTTTTTCGAACTTCTCAAATATTTCTTGTCTTTGTTGGATTTCATGCTCATTAACCTCTCCGTTTAATCGCTCTATTGCCTTCCACCACAGAGTACGATAACAGTCATTCTCTCGTTCAATATCCCGTCGTCCTTGAATTGCTATGCCGATTGACCTGAGGACTACTGTCGTTTGAATTCATCTATACGCTCTATCGTTTGGTGTATGGGAGCGTGAGCTAGCATCTGCGAGGGTACAGGCTTCTTCGAACCCACGAACAGAAAATGAAAAGATACCTCTCCGGCGCTTGCATTCTATTCGTATTGGGCGGAATATCAGGAGTATGTTCTGCAATGTAGCCTCACGACGGGAATGCAACTAATGGGGTTAACCATAAGGCAACAACAAACGCAAGAATTCCGGACCCGAGATATGACCTGAAATTCTCCCAACAGGTAGCATTATTATTATTAACTCAAAAGTTCCATTTACTTTCCTTCTAACTCTGTTCTAGGTAAACAATCTTGAATCAAAGCGCTTAATAAAAGCTAGGTCACCAAATGTATTTGCGAACCCCTTCAATGAATCGTTGGGAAGCTGATAATCGTAGGGTCACATAGCAGTGGAAGCTCTTCCAATTCATAACGGCGTATCCTTCCACGAGGGTGACATTGTCATTAATGTTATAGGTCCGGGAGATGGCTCCAACGTTCATGTACAAGAACAAGGACACACACTACTATTTCCCCATGTACAGTCACCTGCAGGCTCTCAGCCACTCATACCATTCCAATCCGAGCCTCGCACCCCAGCAGTAGTACAGCCTGCCGGACACACTCCATCACCGATACCAGTCCCGCCAGCAGGAGAGCCTTTGGGAAATCCTTCAACACCGCAGTCGCCTCCTCCGCCAGCTCAAGCTGCGCCATTTGCTATTCCGACTCCACAAGTGCAGCAGACTAGTATTCCTGCAGGCGCCTGCGATTGCCAGTGCCTTTGCCCATTTCACTTTTTCGGCATGACGGCAGTGAATTTAGCGTCAACCGTCGATATAAAAGGCGCACCATCGCCAACAACGCTTGCCACTGTCGTTTCCCCGTGTGTATCAGAGCTTCAAGTTTCCACCACCGCAGCTGCAGTGACCTCCTCCCCATCGGCCAAAGGTACAGCAACTGCCTCTTCAACGTCTCCCACCATTCTAGACATTCACTCTTCCAGCACATCAGCAATCCCCCTACCTCCTGTGGCTCTGCCGGAACCATCGAAAGACGGTGCAATAACCGCTGTTGATACACCTCCCTCCCTAAGTGGAAGCACGGCCACCAGTGCAGTTGAGTTGGCAACAACAAACGAACCAGCACGTACTGCGTCGACAGAGACAGCAGTGCCAAATGCAGGTGCTACCCAACAAACAGACACGGAGGCTGATATCCCAAAGCCAACAGGAACAAAAGTGACGGCCACAGCGGATGTTATTGTAACATCGGAAGATCCAGCAACCATAACAGACGCAGACTTCTCAAAGAAAGTAACAGAGAATACGGGTGTCAGTGCTACTACAACTAATACTATACCAGAAACAAGTACGGCTTCCACTCAGACCAGGGACAACTCCGGCGGCAGCGGAAAACAGCGCAACCCAGAGAATGATCCCGCAGCAGCGGACAGTTTTGATATCGGCACCATCAAGCTCCATAGCGTGCTAACATTAAGACTTGGGGTTACGGATGGAGGGTGTTTGGGAGGGACAGTTGATGTTATATAGAGGAAACCCATTGTATGCACTATGCCATATTATCAGGATGACCAAGCTGGGCTTGTACTTTCTTCTCTTCTATTTCCTTACTATCACATATATATTCCACTTTAAAACGGTTCTTGTGCCGCGCTACTACTGCTACGTTTGTATACACACTACTTGGAAGGTGGGTGGAATGTCTGATGTGGTTTTGTGCCGTATATAACCGTCACTTTGCTCTTATTCTGCATCCCTTCTGTTTGCTGCCTTATTCTATATCGACCTTTGCTTCGGAGCGCCATCAATTCAGTAAGTTGCTATATATAAGAGTATTATATCCCCTTTCAAGAAATGCTTTTTGATACTTTTTTCAAGTCTATCCAGTAGTTTACCATACCATATCATACAGAAACCACGCCAGACTCCACTATGGAGTAACAAAGCAAAGAAGAGAAAACAAAACGCGAGCAGGGCTTCATGGTTTATCTCCCTCATGCATCGGAATTGCTGTCGAGTTATCATCGGCACTCAACCCCTGAAGTTTTGCCCGCTTGGCCCTCCGTTTCAATTCCCGTTTTGACAACGGCGCCTGCGGCTCAGCATTCGATTCAGTCTCAGCATCAGCTTTCCTCTTCACCCCAATTCCATTCCCATTCCCCCGACTCTGATTCCTGTTGCTGCTGTTATCCTTCGTATCCTTCCCCTCCTTCACTAGCTTCTCCCCTCCATACACAACATCCACAATCCCCCTCCAGCTCCTTCGCTTCATCCCGGCCAATGCCACAACCTTCCTCGCTTCATCGCACAGCGCCTCCTTTCCCCTCTCCTGCGTTAACCCCCATACACAGGCCAAATTAACCACATCAAAAGGTGCGCGCACCCCCAGCGCCCTCTTCGCTTCGCTCGAGATAATAAGCCCGCGCCCGCGCGTCGCGCGTATTAGCGATGCGGCATTACCAATTAGATTCCTGCGTGCCTCCGCGCCGCTACCCGTTACGCCGGGGCCATAGCAGATCTCCAGCCGGATGCCACGGGCGATGGCAGCGGCGAGGGTTTTGAATTTGAAATGGAAGGGGAGGCGGGCGGAGAGGTCGAGGGAGATAATGTCGCAGTCAAGACTGTTGCAGGCGAGGGTGAGGCATTTTTCGTTCAGGGGCCGAAGGGCGATGAGGGAGAAATGTTGTGAGAGAGGGGTGAGGCGCTGGTTTTGGGCCGGGTCGGAGACGGTGACTGTTATTCGGGAGAGGAGGGTGAGGGATTTAGGGGCATTCGCGGGAAAAGGAGCGGGGGAGAGGTCTGCGGGGAGTTTGCCAGAGATAGATTGGGAGAGGGCTACTGTTGTGTAGCCGACTGTATCGAGAAGGTGACGGGAGTTAGCATTGCGGGTGCTATATATTGATAATACGCGGAATAGGACGTTAACCTACGTTCAGCAAGAAACAGGAGAGTGTTGGAGATTTCAGGGTCGTTGGGCGTGTAGGAGATATTCAGATCATAGAACATGATAGCTGCGCATTGCCATCCAGCCCGCCCTACTCCCTGTTATCGCGAACTAGCCATCGGATGATGTTCTTGAGAAATGGAAATGGAATTTTCAATGATGACAATCACGTGACAATTACATAAGATATAAGGAACAGCGGACAAGAGTGGATAAACTTGCCAAAATACATATCTATGATCACTAGACGATGCCACTTTCACTGATGGGACCCAAACTAGATCCATGGACCATTCTGAAGGCCTGAGTTTCCGCATGGCTGGACTTTTGTCAGGATGCTTTGAGTTTGGATTCAGGTTTGTATGTATGTACTGCATTACATTACGAGTACAAGTAGCATTATCCTAGTTGTGCTATAAATCAAGATATCGCCTAAAAAGAGAGTAATGGCCCTGCTATTATGCCGCAGTCGGCCTAAATGATTACTCCCCCCGTAGAGAGATGTAAATCTAAGCTGATGCATAGAGAGTAGCTCCAGCTACAAAAAAAAATACCCAACCCGAGTCACCTGGTCCGTGCGTTTCGCGGGGTTTCTTGGCTGTCATGTGACCCTTCATGGGCCCATGAAGCGGCCTTTGTTTATCAAAATGATCCTATCTTGCTGCTTCCTGTGCATTTATTGATTAATATTGTCGCTTGCCTCTCTTTTAGCTGCAGCGCCGGGCGACGCCTGTGCCCTCCTTCCCGTACAACCTACTGCTTTCGCTCTCCCGCTGTGTGCTTTTTTTGTATCCTCTTGCTCTCATTTTCGCAATTTTCGCAAAACATTTGTCTGTGGGTTATATTTCACCGGATAGAGCCGATAAACCGGCATCATGGCGCGAGTCTATGCGGATGTGAATCAGCAAATGCCCAAATCATATTGGGATTATGACAGCGTGAACATATCCTGGGGTGTGCTAGAAAACTATGAGGTTGTGAGGAAAATCGGTATGTCCATCCCGAAGAAGAGGGATCGCTGGCGAACACAAGGCCTTCTCATGACCCGGTCTGTAGTCGATGGACTGCGGTGTAGGGGAAATGCTTCCGAACGATATTGTGGCGCAAAAACTAACTTTAGTTATTTGTTTATCCATTAGGTCGCGGGAAATACTCAGAAGTTTTCGAAGGGATAAACGTGGTTAATTACCAGAAATGCGTTATCAAAGTCTTGAAGCCGGTGAAGAAAAAGAAGATCAAGAGAGAGATCAAGATCCTACAAAATCTGTCCGGTGGGCCCAATGTTATACCTCTATTAGATGTCGTCCGTGACAGCCAGAGCAAAACCCCCAGCTTAGTTTTCGAATACGTTAACAACACCGATTTTCGAACGCTCTACCCCCGATTTGTCGACTATGATGTGAGGTATTATATCTTTGAACTACTGAAGGCTTTGGACTTTTGCCATAGTAAGGGCATAATGCATCGAGATGTTAAGCCCCATAACGTCATGATAGATCACGAACGTCGAAAAGTATGGCTTGGTTTCACTCCCGCGCGCCTCTCAGTGATGTCTGAATCTTCAATGCTAACTGCTATTTCATTCTAATACAGCTCCGACTTATAGACTGGGGATTGGCTGAGTTCTACCACCAGGGAATGGAGTACAATGTCCGTGTCGCATCGCGGTATTTCAAGGGACCAGAACTCCTTGTGGATTTCCAGGAATACGACTATTCACTCGACATGTGGTCGTTGGGGGCTATGTTTGCCTCAATGATATTTCGGAAGGAACCTTTTTTCCACGGTAATAGCAACTCAGACCAGTTGGTCAAAATTGCAAAAGTCCTGGGTACAGATGAGCTATTTGAATACCTCGACAAGTACGACATCGAGCTTGATCCTCAGTACGATGAAATCCTTTCGCGTTTTCCCAAAAAGAGCTGGCATTCATTTGTCAATGCCGAAAATCAGAGATTCGTCAGCTCTGAAGCTATAGATTTCCTGGACAAATTGCTCAGATATGACCATGCTGTATGTTTTTGTCGTTATATGTTCAATTCTTTCTTATTCTATTTGTCTCTCAATTTGGAAGGTCAGCTAATCTATCTTCAGGACCGTCTCACTGCTCAAGAGGCAATGGCACACCCATACTTCGCCCCTGTCCGAGCCGCCGCGGCCCAAGCGCTCTAGACCAGCAACTGAACATCTAGTCATCCTTGATCTCTCCCATCTCTAAATGGCTACCCCTATATTCGCCATTCACCCACCATTTCTCGTTACTTTTTTTTTGGCCCCTTACCCAAGCCTCTATTTTCCACATTACGCATCCCTCCCATCTTTTTCTCGTGCGAACAAGTCCTAGGCTACAAAAAGAAATATTAGCATTAGGTTTATAGCAGATGTTGCGACGTCACTTACGAGGCCCTCCTTCATGACCATTCAAGAAGTACATGATGAAGAACTACTTTATGAGACACTGCCTTTTCTACATTTATTACGTTCTGTTCCTTTTTTTTTCCCATTTCCCATTTCCTTTTTAATTAAAATCGGGTCTCCTACACACACTTCTGAATTGATTTCTCCTCCCCTTCTTTTGGTTCCCCCTTGCTTTAGCTGTTTTAGTGTATCATGCGTAGAGAAGTAATACAATTTGTTTACCCTTTTGTAGCTTTATTTCAATAACCAGTAGACACCGCGATGGCATTCGTACACGTGACTCATCCAAATTGTGACTCAAAACTCCTTAAAAACCGTGCGGGAATGCGAAATTTAAAAGATATCACCAGCAGACTTCTGTAAGTAGCAATGGCTTCAATCACTTAGTAGTAGCCTCTCTGCCCCCTCTGAGCGATCGCTAATTAACTCACTTACTGATGCAGTGCATACCCCTCCCACGAGAAAAGTGTACTTTGCAACCCGATTTTTACCCCTCCCAAGAGCTCCAACATACTTCGACGACTAGTTACTCCGCGCTTTGCGCGATGGGCAATTGCTCCAACAACAAGACCAAGACTTGAACCAGGATCAAGATTATTTAGTATGACGTCGAATCTAGCAGAGCAAACTCCTGGTAAGTGCGCCATATGTGATAAATATAATATATCTCGCTTGTGCTTGGAAACTGACGGTATCCTATTTCTCTCCATAGCTCCGCAGCAAGCAGCTGCCCCTGTCGCTCCAATCAACGAAAATGGAACCGCGAAATATGTTGCGATTGGCACTCAGGAGGTTCAAAAGGGGAAATCGGAGAGAGAACGTATGCAATTCTGTTTGTTAAATTTGCGGAGGTTCACACCCTGTTGGCGGGGCTTATGACTCATGGGAAGTATTAGGGGTCTGGCTAATAGATACTTTGATATATAGTTGAGAAGGAACGGAAGAAGGCGGAGAAGATGAAGAAATTCGCTGAAAAGAAGGCCAAATTAGGCTCAGCCGCTCCGGCCCCCGCGCCTAAAACCTCTGAAAAGAAGCCCAAGGTCGAGAAGGAGAAGAATGTCGACGCTTATGATCCTCTTACAATTGAATCTGGGAGATATGAATGGTGGGAAGCACAAGGGTTTTTCAAACCCGAGTTTGGACCAGATGGAAACGTCAAGCCAGAAGGGAAATTCGTCATTCCCATCCCGCCACCAAATGTCACAGGGGACCTGCATATGGGTCATGCTTTGACCAATGCGCTTCAGGATACGATGATACGCTGGCAGCGAATGAAAGGAAAGACTGTCCTTTGGCTTCCAGGCTACGACCATGCTGGAATATCGACGCAGAGTGTCGTGGAGAAAATTCTGTGGAAGTCTGAAGGCAAGACTCGCCATGATGTGGGGAGGGACGTAATGACTAATATGATTTGGGACTGG